CTTGCTGCTCCAGCACCAAACTCTAGTGCAGCACTGGCTCACAAACAGTCAAGCTGGGATGGTCCGATCGCTGAAAAGGTGCTTGCCAACATGCTTAGGGCTGCAACATCAGATAGGGAGATTGCCTGTCTCCAGGCTGTGAGCGCACCTCACTCCGGGGACTTCCTCCAAACAGTTCTCATATCGGCAATGGGAATGCAATTCGACCCTAAGACCCTCCGTATTGCAGCGCCTTGCTGCCCCAATTCACACAGAATATACGTGTATTTGCAGCGAAGCGCAACCAGACCAATATAGTCTAAATGGTCTTAACTATTCCAAAACCAAGGGCTGGCATGCAAGACACAATGAGGTCAACGACATCATTAAGAGAACCCTTGCTACAGCTGGATGCCCAGCCGAAAGGGAGCCCCAATCACTAGCATCCAACAATACCCACAACCCAGCAATCCGCCCCGATGGAATTACCATCTATCCTTGGAAGAATGGCAAGCTCTTAGCATGGGACTATACCTGTGTGTCCACACTGGCTGACACCTATATCCATCACAGTGTTGGGCGACAGGGAGGAGCTGCTGACTGCAGGGAGGAGTACAAGATCAGCAAGTACAGGGACTTAAGCCAACAGTATCAATTTGTCCCAGTGAGATCAGAGACCTTGGGTTCATGTTGAAAAAATGCCACACGCTTCCTTAAAGAATTGGGTTCCAAACTCATCGACACCACCAGGGACCCAAGGGCAGCCACTTTCATGTTCCAGCGCCTCAGCATAGCCATCCAGAGGGGAAATGCTTGCTGCATACTTGGCTCGCGTCCAGCCTCGGAGGAGCTGGAGGAAATTCATGATCTTTGATACATTGTGGGATTGTATTCATGTTTATATTTTTCTGTAAATGTATTCTGTATATTAATAAATGTTCACATAGAATATCTAATATAGTGGATGGTAGGAGAAGAAAATATTCAAACAGCTCCGGGGAGAACCTTGAGTTTTCCCTGAGGTACGTTTATTGTCTTCTCTGAGGATGAGGGTCCCCATTCCAGCCATAGAGGTGGTACTTCCCTATATTATATATATATATATATATATATATATATATATATATATATATATATATATATATTATATATATATATATATATATATATTTATATATATATATATATATATATATATATATATAATATGTCGTGCCGAATAGGCACAACTTGCCATCTTGGCTTAAATAGCAGCGCTCATCTTGCCATATAGGACAAGTGAAAATTTGTGTATGCAATAATTTTGCCAAAATCATTCTGAACCTAACGAAAAATATATATTTCAGTGTGTTTGTTTAGTATTAAATTACTGTAAACAAATCTAGAATATATTTAGTTGGATCAGGCTAAAATAAATTGCTCTTGTTATAATAAGGTTAGGTAAGTTTTCTAAGTTTCTTTTGGCGCAAAATTAAAAAAAATGACATTAACATTAATGGAAAAAATATATCTTTAAACGTATAGGAGAAAATTTTGGAAAGCACTTAATTTTAAATGAGTTCTTGCTAATTGACCAGTTTTACATATTCGGCACGACATATATATATATATATATATATATATATATATATATATTATATATATATATATATATATATATATATATATATATATATATATATATATGTACATATATATATATATATATATATATTATATATATATATATATATATATATATATATATATAATATATATATATATATAAATATATATATATATATATATATATATATATATATATATATATATATATATATATAGTATATATATATAAAATATATATATATATATATATAATATATATAATATATATATATATATATATATATATATATATATAGCCCTTTCTAAAATTTTCTCTTATGAATTTAAAGATATAGTTTTTACATTTATGTTAATGTAAAAATTAATAATTTTATACCAAAAGCACCTTAGAAAACTTTCCTAACCTTATTGTAACAAAGGCAATTTAATTTAGCCTAATCCAACTAAATGTATTTCAGATAAGTTTAGAATAATATAATAATAAGCAAACATAATGAAATATAACTTTTGCAAAATTATTCAATACACAAATTTTTGCTTGCGTTATTCGGCAAAAAGAGCCTTGCTATTTAAGCCAAAATCAAAAGTTTTAGGGATTAGGCACGACATTTACAGTGGAACCTCGACTTACGAGTTTAATCCATTCCGTGACCTAGCTCGTAACTCAATTTGCTCTTATATCAAATCAATTTTCCTCATTTAAATTAATTGAAATGCCATTAATCTGTTCCAGTGGAATTCCTGCTCTCGGGATGCAGGACAGAAGCTAATATCAACTCTGCGGCTTATTTATCTATTACATTTCATCTAATATGACGTAATAAACAATATAAATAACACAGAAACATGATATATACTTTAGAATGAATAAAATGTCATGTGATGAGTGGTGGTGGTGGCAATTGCCGCTCCCACACTGACCATATCTTCCCATTCTTCCCCTTCTGAAAAAGGAGTGTTTGTGAGGTTAACTGCACTAGATCATTAGTTTCATAAAAAAACTGAAACAATGTATTTATAAATAAGAAATATTGTATAAAACATAATAGAGAATGTAAAGAAGTAAACTGGTTTTATAAAGTGTATGTACATATTTACCTGGGAGAAGTGATGTAGGGTGGAAGATAGGCCATCAGTGGCCCTCAACCCACACACCTCCACCTTGTTTGTGTTTATCTATGATTTCATGCTTTAATTCCATGAACATCTTTTTCTTCTCGGAACCGTCCTTTTCTCCTTTCTTTGGTCCTATGGTTAGAAAAAAAGAAATTTGGCAAAATAACTGTACAATATGCAAACAAAGAATGAGAGAAATGCTTCCACTGCTTAGCTGATGTTTTGACATTTGCTGCGCCAACTAGTGGCGGTGTTCTGAAGCTCGTTATTATTATTATTATTATTATTATTATTATTATTATTATTATTATTATTATTATTATTATTATTATTAATTTAGGGAACTGGAGCACAGATGGGCTGGAGAGGGGCTCTTGATCTAGGGAATTGGATCTGTGCTCCAGTTCCCTAAATTAATAATAATAATGATAATAATGAGCTTCAGAACACTGCCACTAGTTGGCGCAGCGAATGTCAAAACATCAGCTGAGCAGTGGAAGCATTTCTCTCATGCTTTGTTTGCGTTACTGTATGCCATTCTTGCAGCACTTATTCATATCGCATCTATGCCTGTGTCATCATTTGTAGTAGTCTCAGACTCCCTTAGTGCTCTACAGGCTATACGAAAATTTGATACATCTCATCCCCTAGTTCTCCGTATCCAACTTTGGCTACGCCGTATCTCTACCAAACATAATGTTTTTTGTTGGGTCCCTGGTCATGTCGACGTACAGAGCAATGAACAGGCAGACACTGCTGCGCGGTCAGCAGTACATGACCTACCAATTTCCTATCGAGGTGTTCCATTTCTGGACTATTTTGCTGCAATAGCTACCCACCTTCGCACCCGTTGGCAACAACGTTGGTCAACTCTGCTCGGTAACAAACTTCATTCTATTAAACCGAGCATAGGTTACTGGCCGTCTTCTTGTCATCAGTGCCGAGGTTGGGAGACCACTCTCTCCCGCCTTCGCATTGGTCACACTCGTCTTACTCATGGGTATCTCATGGCGAGGCACCCTGCTCCTCTCTGTGAGCAGTGTCAACTTCCAGTATCGATTAGCCACATTCTGTTAGACTGCCCTCTCTATCAACGAGCACGCAGAATTTACCTCCAACGTCGTCTTCGTTCTACTACTCTCTCTTTACCTTCCCTTCTTGCTGATGGACCCTGCTTTAATCCTGACTCTCTCATTGACTTCTTGACAACGACTGATTTACTCCACAAACTCTGATGATACTTTTCGCACTCCCCTCAGCCCTTTCTAGTTCAGTCTCTTGCTGCCCTTTACCCTTTCACCATCCACTGCCCCGCTGTTATCCGTAACCTATTACTCATCCATCTCCCTTTTGTCACCTGATGCCCTCGCTTCCTTCCTGCCCTGCAGCGCTGTATAGTCCTTGTGGCTTAGCGCTTCTTTTTGATTATAATAATAATAATTTGTTTGCGTTTTGTACAGTTATTTTGCCAAATTTCTTTTTACTATCCGTGGGCCCTAAGAAAGAAAGTGCAAAGGACAGAGCTGAGAAGAATAAGATGATGTCCATGTAATTAAAGCATGAAATCATAGATAAACACAAGTGAGGTGGAGGTGTGCGGGTTGTGGGTTGAGGGGGAAGCTTGCTCCTTACTCGGATTTTGGCTGTAACTCAGAGCAAAAAATCGGCTGAGAGACGACTCGTATCTCGAAAAACTCGCATTTGTAACTCCAGGTTCCACTATATACATATGCTGAATAGGTAAAACTTGCGATTTTGGCTTAAATAGCAACGCTCTTATTGCCGAATAAGGCAAGCAAACATTTGTGTATGCAATAATTTTGCAAAAATAATTCTGAACCCAACAAAAAAATATATTTCATTGTGTTTGTTTATTAAATTACTGTAAACTTATCTAAAATATATTTAGTTGGATTAGGCTAAATTATATTGCTCTTGCCATAATAAGGTTAGGTAAGTTTTCTAAGGTTCTTTTGGTACAAAACTGTTAGTTTTTACAACAACATAAATGACAAAAAATATCTTTAAACACACAAGGGAAAATTTTTGAAAGGACTTAATTTTAAATGAGTTCTTGCTAACTGACCAGTTTCACCTATTCAGCATGACACACACACACACACACCACACACACACACACACACACACACACACACATATATATATATATATATATATATATATATATATATATATATATATATATATATATATATATAATATAGTATATATATATATATATATAATAGTGTATCTGTATGAGACAGTTATGTCTTTGTAATACAATAGGTGTAATTTCTTCGAAACATATTTACATGGCAAAATAATGCATAATAGTTACAAAATGATATGTGCTGAGCATAACTTTAATTTCAATAATACATTTTTGAACATTTCTCTACATTCTAAGAAATCATCAGCAGAGCCACTCAGTAACACAACTAAAAAATTCGAGAATATATTAAAATTCTAAAGGTATAATTTTTCGTCCATTAAATAAGAGTATATATAAAAATTGTAATTAGAAGTTGGTGGACATCGTGTTGTCGTAGGAGTTCGCCTTGGTCCTGGCTGTAACATCGGCTGGGTCCGGGAGAGACCATCTCACCCACGGGTGTATCATTGACCGCTCCACGCGACGACCTCCAGATTTACCTGTTGATACAAAGGAAATTGGTGAGTGCTGTAACCGGGGCGTGTAGATAAGACACAGTGCGGGTTATAACATTTTATTGCCATGAATTTTATCAGTTCAGGGGACTGATGAAGTCCCCGGTTAACGGTGAGGAAGGGTCGTCAGTCTTTCGGTTAGCAGATGGATGATCGAGTTTACACGTTGTCTCGATAACAGGAAGGAGGATCAAGCCTCTAGTAGCTCTCACGGATTTATTACTTTATAAAGTAGGCAAAAAAGCATGTTAAGTCACACAATAGTTATTTGGGGACTAAACGTAAACGGTTTTAATAAAAAGCAGATCATTAAGGCCGCCCACTGAACTTGATTATCGCTTCTTCATAAATATAATTTTAATTAACAGGTGGAATGTCATGTAATCAGAATTTAATGTATGACTTAAGTAATGTTACGTGGCGGGAAAAGTGACCTTCACTAAAGAAACATTACATTGACTTTGTAAATGATCCATGTCGGACCGAAACATCGTTATAAGCTACTCTCTCCTATGTGTGGCTTATTTGTGTAAATATTACATTAAGGCGACGATTTACCATTCGCGATCAAGTGATGGTGGAAGAGGCCAGGTGTCGCTGGAAGCAGTCAAGTTCCAGTGTAAGAGGTCAGGTGTCAGTGACAGAGGTCAGGTGTCGCTGGAAGAGGTCAAGTTCCAGTGGGAGCGGTCAGGTGCCGGTGGGAGAAGTCAGATGCCGGTGGGAGGGACCACGTACCGGTAGCAGAGGTTAGCTACCAGTGAGAGAGGTCAGGTACTGGTGAGAGAGGTCAGGTAACGGTAAGAGATCAGGAACCGGTGAGTGAAGTCCGGTACTGGTGGGAAAGATCAGATACCAGTGAGAGAGGTCAGGTACTGGTGGGAGTGGTCAGGTACCAGTGGAAGGTTGGGCACCGGTCTCCCCTATACATAAATATGTTTCTTTATTTTTTCAATTAAAATCTAAATGTCATTATCATATTGACCAATGACCTAAACAACCTGAGAACAAATAAAATTTCAAAAGTATACTAGATTAGGTAGAAACGAACGTTCGGCAATTCGGAGTTAATTGCAGTCTCTGATTGGTCAACAGGTTGTAGAAGTAAAAAAATAATGCTGTCAGGAAAAAACTAGATGTATTTCGGTGGCTGCGCGATCTGAGAGAAATATCCTTCTATTCTATTACCATCTTAGAACGCTAAAAGGTACGCCACTGAGAGTTTTGGAAATAATCTGTGCCAATTTAGTATTGAAATTTTGATGGCGATAGGATGAGGCGTTCTCGAGTTACGAGCGAAATAAACTTTCAGGGAAAGAAATCCAAACAGCCTCTTAAAGGTACCTCTTTGGGATATCTAAATAACGCAGACTTTTTCGTTAAGACCTCTCTAGAAGGTCCAGATAAAAATCTTAAAAAAAATAACCAGTAAAGGATAGCAGAAATTAGCAATCAATTCGTACATCAGATAATCCCCGAAGTTTATTTCACATTGCTGGCGATTGAGGAATGAAGCGAAGAGGAATTTGGGTCATGAAGGAATGTTGACTGACCTGTGAGGAAGCTGACGAGGACTCCCACCACAAGACCCACAACCAACCCCAGAGAACCCAGCTGCGTGTACGAGAGGCCGAAGATTTTCTGCGGGTACTGTAGGTCGGAGACTCTGTAGATGAGAGTTGGTTTGTATTGTAACACCCCAAGTGCTGGAAAAGGAAGACTTGTAAATGATGCTCAACACGGGAGAGTTAAGGTTTGTAGTGGGATACCCCAACATGGGAGGGTGAAGGTTTGTTGTGGGTTGCTATATAAGTCGTGAGGATATCAAAGTTCTAATATAAGAATATAGAATTTTTCAAGTCAAGTGAAATGTAAAAAAGAAATTAACTTTGACACGAGTCAATAACCAAAACCTTCATAGATTTTTTTTTCATCATTTACCCTTTCTTGAATGATAAGCTGCAACGCAGGCTAGGGAGGAGAGGTAAACAAAACCCTCAAAGATTATTGTACTGTGATGAACATTTACCAGGATATATTATAAAGAATTTTTTTTTTTTTCAAAATGTTGCTCTTCAGGAGGACTGATTATGGTGATTCATGGAACTCTAGTCATCATCCTATTTCCCATTTTCCCAGGCACTGTGTGGCCTCTGCGGGTTTAGCATTTTCCAGTGTATATAATAATAATGATGACAATCATCAGTCATGACCCATTACCAAGTGATGTATTGTGACAGTAGTTTAAACATTTTTTTAAAGCTTTAGACTCGATTCATATTTTTATAAACAGCAATTTATTTATCCTTCCAAAGTACTATTTTAACTATAACACGAAAATAGTATTCAATAGTCCCAGGGTACATATTTAGCATGTCTGTCTCACTTTCAGCAGACGGAGGACCGAACCTCTGCTACTCCTTGTGTCAATAAGTAAATATTAACCTCTACGCACCTTTCATATATACGATGTATTGTTTATTTTTTTAACGTTGGTAGTAACCAGCAAAAGGTCTCAGTCACATGATCAGAAGCTGCTTTGACTGGGTATTTCACATGACTGAGACTCGTTTCTGGTGTAAGTCTCATACTACTGTAGGGTGAAACGCCTTGAGTCCTACCTGACTGGGTGGGTGTCTGAAGGAAGAGGTATGGTCAGGTTGGCAGGGCAGGCGTCCGTAGAGGTGGGCAGTATTTCTGGTGTGATACCCAGGATTGTAGCACCGAAGCTGAAGCTGAGTGCCACAGCCGTGCCCACGACCAGCGCTGAGCACGCCCCCTGGTCGCACGTCATTAAATAAGCTTAGAGACATAATATATACCGAGGGGTGTATATCTTACACTGAAATTTTAATTTATTTCCGTTGTAAGGGATTAAAACATTCTTGACAGGTGGGGGAACAGGTTACATGCAGGTTACATGAAGAATAAAAAGACACAATACTGTGACTGGAACAATACGCAAATGACCTTCACATAGGAGAATGAAACTTATGACGATATTTTGGTCTGACTTGGACCATTAACTATTCACACGATGTGACTACTTAATGGCCCAAGTCCTCATAAGTTTCATTCTCCTGTGTGGGGGTACATATGTGCCTGGTGTCATTAGAAAATTCTTACCCTGTCTGTATGTATTAGCGTTCCCATTAATACTTTCTGGAGATCTTTTTCTTTAATTTTCATACAGTCAACACTATTTTATAATTATTTACCATTATTGGTATTAATGTTTGATACTGTAATTATTAATGTCTTTTTGTGAGAGTGGTGAAGGAGTGGGCATCGAAGGAGTGACAGTCCTGCGACCTACTGTGACAAAGTCCCACTTACCTCACCCAAATTACTTACATGTAATAATTCAGATAATACTCTGTAAGCCTCATGCAGGTAATCTCTCACAATAATTTAGAGTTATAATATGTAAAGAAACAATATCAATATAGTCTTTGGTGATGTGTGACTTCCACATGGAAGGTGCTTTAACGTCGGTAAGGGGCTCTTGATCCAAGGAACTGAACTTATTCTCCCTTCCCTTGGATCGAACCTGATTGCCTCCCATTCTCCAGGCGCAATATAACCTCCCAATTAAAAAAATAGTAATAAGAGAAAATTGCAAAACAGATATTCTTACTCTATCACAACGGAAGACCTCGGTCAGATGACCGAAGCTCCAGCGGTGGGTCGTCATATGACTAAGACCCGCATCAGGAAACACTTGTCTTGTTTCCTGACTAACCTTATCTAACCCTACTCTGTTATATTTTCAGTTACAAAATAAAAAATGAAAATATGTTTCAAAATTAGAAATAGCGTAAAACAAAGGCCGCTAGGCTAATTTTATTAAATTTCTTTGTTTACCTTATTTAGCGTAGTCTGCATACCATTCCAAAATCGAAATTATAGGTATATATTGGAATAAGGATTTGTGGGAGGGATTTGTATGATTTGCCATAAAGCACATATTTATAGCACCGAAAGACAGGTGTTTGCTGGACTGGTGGACAGGTGGTTAGCGTGTTAGGTGTGAAGCCTATCGACTGCACAAAAATCGTTAAAGGCTACATTTCACCTTTACTCTACCCGTTGTGAATATTTTAAGAACATAAGAAAGAAGGAACACTGCAGCAGGTCTACTGACCCGTGCGGAGCAGGTCCATGTCCTTTCCCCCCAGATTAAACCAATAACCCACCCCCCGGATTTGCCCAAGGTTCCCCCCCCGATTAGCCCAATGACCCCACCCCGGATTAGCCCAATGACCCACCCCCCCGGATTAGCCCAATGACCCACCCGGTTGGGCCACCTCCACTCGAGGAAGGAGCACGGCACCAGACCCAGCAGCACAAGCTAGTCAGGTCCAACTCACACCCACCCACACCCACTCATGTATTTATCTAATCTATTTTTAAAACTACAAAACGTTTTAGCCTCAATAACTGTACTCGGGAGTTTGTTCCACTCATCCACAACTCTATTACCAAACCAGTGCTTTCCTATATCCTGAATCTGAATTTTTCCAACTTGAAACCTGTCTTGGCTGGAAATTTTCAGCACGCTATTTACATCCCTTTATTTATTCCTGTTTTCCATTTATACACCTCGATCATATCCTCCCTAATTCTACGCCTTTCGAGAGAGTGCAGATTAAGGGCCCTCAGTCTATCCTCATAGGGAAGATTTCTGATATATGGGATCATCTTTGTCATCCTCCTCTGTACGTTTCCCAGAGCATTTATATCCATTCTGTAATACGGTGACCGGAACTGAGCAGCATAGTCTAAATGAGGCCTAACCAAGGATATATAGAGTTGAAGAACAACCTGAGGACTTCTATTATTTATACTTCTAGATATGAAGCCAAGAATTATGTTAGCTTTATTGTGAACACTAATGCCCTGTTGTCTTGGTTTTAGATTACTGCTAACCAGAACTCCTAAATCCTTTTCGCAATCAGTAGTATTAAGATCTACATTATTTAGTTTATATGTGGCATGGTTATTTACCTGTCCAACATTTAGAACTTTGCACTTGTCAATATTAAACTGCATCTGCCACTTCTCCGACCATTGCATCAGTCTATTCAAATCATCCTGGAGTGCTCTAGTGTCCTCATTAGAATGAATTGGACGACCTATTTTGATGTCATCAGCAAATTTGCTTATGTCGCTATTTATTCCTTCATCTATGTCGTTTATGTAAATTATGAACAACAACGGGCCCAACACTGACCCCTGAGGAACACCGCTTGTGACGTGCCCCCATTCTGATTTCTCCCCATTTATGCAAACTCTCTGCTGCCTATTTGTCAGCCATGCCTCTACCCAGGAAAAAATTCTGCTCCTATTCCGTGTGCCTTAAGTTTCCTCAATAGCCTCTGGTGTGAAACTCTATCGAAAGCCTTACTGAAGTCCATATACACAATATATATTCATTACCATGATCTACCTCCTCAAACACCTTAGTGAAAAAAGTTAGTAAATTCGTAAGACAGGAACGCCCCTTTGTAAACCGCGTTGAGATTTATTAATCAATCTGTGCCTATCAAGATGGCTACGAATTGCTTCGGCAATTATTGATTCCATAAATTTTCCCACTATGGAGGTAAGGCTTATTGGTCTATAGTTCGAAGCCAAGAACCTGTCACCTGCCTTGTAAATAGGTATTACATTTGCCATTTTCCACTTATCAGGCACTATGCCAGTTTGTAGTGATATGTTAAAAAGATTAGCCAAAGGTATGCTAAGTTCCTCTTTACATTCCTTTAACACCCTTGCATACAGTTCATCAGGATCTGGGGATTTGTTAGGTTTTAGTTTCTCTGTTTGTCTGAGGACCATGTTACTAGTTACCGCAATCGTACATAGTTTATTATCATCCTGTTCTACATAATCTATTATTTCAGGAATATCGCTAGTATTTTCCTGAGTGAAAACTGAGAGGAAGTAGGTACTGAGAATTTCACACATATCCTTATCACTATCAGTGATCTGACCAGAGTTACTCTTAGGTGGGCCAATCTTGTCCCTAATCTTACTTCTGTATACCTGAAAGAACCCTTTTGGGTTAGTCTTTGAATCCCTTGCGACCTTAGCCTCATAATCCCTTTTTGCTTTTCTTATTCCTTTCTTTATTTCTCTCTTTAACTGAATATATTGATTTCTTAATTGACCATCCCCTCTTTTGATTCGCCTATATATGCCTCTCTTTTGACCAATGAGATGTTTTAATCTATTGTTCATCCATTTGGGATCATTTTTGTTAGATCTAATTTCCCTACTCGGAACAAAAGTTGTCTGGGCAGCTAGAACTATGCTCTGAAAAACGTCATATTGGCAACCAAGATCACCTACCTGAACCATAGTCAAGACATCCCAATTTAGCCCACCCAGGTAATTTTTCAGTCCCATGAAGTCGGCCAAGCGAAAATCTGGGACAGAGATTTGATTGCAGTTTTAATGCATAAAGAAATGGAATTATGGTAACCTTAGCATATAGACACTAAAAGATACACACACTCACATTGGTATATGTATATCCTGTATGGTGTTGTGTTTTATCTGAGGATTTAGAAGAACCGTTGTATGTGAGACTTTTCTAAAAGACGAGACGTCTTGTTTCTCTCTAGACTTGTATGTTATCTATTAGTGGTTCTGAGATTATCTTCCCCAAGGTCCAGTCTCATTGAAAGTAATGGTATGTATATCGTGCCGAATAGGTAAAACTTGCGATTTTTTATTAAATAGCAATGCTCTTCTTGCCGAATAAGGCAAGCGAAAATTAATGTATGCAATAATTTTGCAAAAATCATTCTGAACTTATCGAAAAAAATATATTTCATTGTGTTTGTTTATTAAATTACTGTAAACTTATCTAAAATATATTTAGCTGGAATAGACTAAATTAAATTGCATTTGTTATAATTAGGTTAGTTAAGTTTTCTAAGGTTATTATGGTACATAATCATTAATTTTTACATTAACATAAATGAAAAAAATATATCTTTAAACGTACATTAGAAATTTTTAGAAAGGACTTAATTTTAAATGAGTTCTTGCTAACTGACCAATTTTACCTATTCGGTACGACATGTATATACTGAAGTTAAACTGAAGCTTGTAAGATTTATCTGTTATCTTACGACTTGAGAAATGGAATCTGGTACTCCATTTGCATTCTTAGGTTAATTATAGTTTTCCGTAAAATGAGAAATAATAAAGAAAGGTTGTGTAAAATTTTGATAATTTTCCTGTGATCTGTGTGTTGATTGCTAGGAAAGTAATATTTATGTAACGGTGTAAATGTGCATCTTTTCTGTGCCTTTATAAGGTGTTAAGTCACATGAGAACCTATGTTCCCTACAACTTCCTTATTTATTGTAATCAGATAAATAAGTAAAATGTAATCAGTGTAATTTAGAAGAAATTAATGTTCTGATAAGGAAAATGTACTACACGCCTGGAAATGTCACTGAATTTAAATAGGTGTATGTGTAAAAGGGGGCAGTAAAGCAACAGCAAAGAACTACAGAGCGATAGCGCTAACATTCCATATCATAAAAATCTTTGAAAGGGTTCTAAGAAGCAAGATCACCACCCATCTAGATACTCATCAGTTACACAACCCAGGGAAACATGGGTTTAGAGCAGGTCTCTCCTGTCTGTCCCAACTACTGGACCACTATGACAAGGTCCTGGATGCTCTAGAAGACAAACAAAATGCAGATGCAGTATACATAGACTTTGCAAAAGCCTTTGACATGTGTAACAACGGTGTAA